TACACATAACTGTAAGTTACCATTCAGCCAAAGCAAATTGGAATGCCTACCTCACTCCAACTCTGATCATCTCAAAAATGTACCTCCACCAAGCATGTCTGAAATGAGGTTTTAGGTCAAAGGAAGGAAGCAACAGTGACCTTCAGGTAGTTCAGAAACTGCAGTGAAACTTGCAGCCAAGTTTCCAAGGCATGTTGATGCTGATCTTCCTCCCTCTTCTTCCTCTGCCATCCCGTGCCTCCTGCTGCCTTTCATCTCAATCTTCCAACCAAGTCCTGGAGTTCATTTGGTCTCAATATCACCTTCCCAAAGTTCCTCTCCAATGGAGCCAAGGCACTCTCTTGGCCTTTGGGTGGGAATTATAATGAGTTTGTGGTGGCCTCATTAAATTAGTTTCTTTCGAATGTAAATAATAGAAACCAACTCCGGCTAGCTGAATTTTTTAAAAAAGGTGGAGGGAGTGGGGTACAGAGAGAAGAATGGAATTTTCTCTTGGCCTTTGGGTGGGAATTATAATGAGTTTGTGGTGGCCTCATTAAATTAGTTTCTTTCGAATGCAAATAATAGAAACCAACTCCAACTCTGGCTAGCTGAATTTTTTAAAAAAGGTGGAGGGAGTGGGGTACAGAGAGAAGAATGGAATTTTTTAGAAGGATATTAATATACCCTCCCAAAATTCAAGGTGAGCTGAACAACCAGGAGACAGTAAGGAATCAGCTTAGTAATCATGGCAACTTTGTGGCTTTCAGTAAATTAAAATGCCTGCCTCAGTCCAGCTCTGATCATCTAAAAAAAAGTACCTCCATCGAGTTTTGTGTCAAAGGCAGGAAACAGTAGTCTACTTCATGTAGTCCAGAAACTGAAGTTGGTAAACCTTCTCTCCAGAGATGTAACTGAGTGGATCCCCAGGAAGTGTCCAGTTAGTGTGGGCTAGGCTGGGTGTTTGCAGGGGTGAGGCCAGGCTCTGGTGTTTCTACATGGCTGTGGGGATCTATGTCTGTATACTGGATGGGACAGTCTCTACAGAAGGGGAAATCATTGTAAGCCTGGCAGCCATGTCTAGAAATCTATATTTGGCTTTCTTGGGCGAGAATGGTCAGCATAGGAGACCTGCCTTTTAGGACTCCAGATTTTTATCAGTGTAAGTTACTATTTTATAAGTAGTTTCCCATTTTCTTCATCCCACAATTTTGTCTAGCCTCATTCATGGTCTTACTGTTTAAAATCCACTCACAGTCAATTCTACTCTCCTGATTGACTCAACACCATTTCCCTCAGGTCACTTTTGTTGGTTAAACTTCAGAAGAGGTCTTCGAAATGGAATTTGGGTCCCTGCCAATGGAGATTTGAAGAGCCATGCCTGAAGTTGTTGTCCTGTCCTCTCCCAGGCCAGGGTGGTCGTGGGCTTAAGAGGCTGGTTCATGCTAGGCTTTCCTGCAGCTTAGGCCCCAATCACTGTAACATTCATTCATTCATTCCTTTACTCATCAAGCCTTCATTATTTCAGAAACTCTATCAGGTGGCAGGGATAAAAAGATAAATTTGACAACATACCTGCTCCGAAGAGCTTAGAAATGCACATGTTGGAAAAGCAATGGCTTTCTAATACCAAGTGGTTACAGCACTACAGGCTCAGGCAGCAACTCCAGCCTGGAGATTCTTACACTGCAGCACAACTGTTCTCCGAGGCTATGCTTATTTATCTCCCAGGGACTGATACTCGGATAGGTGGAATTATGGCCCCCCAAAAGTGTCCACATCTCTCTCTGGACCTCTGAATATGTTATGTTACATGGCAAGAGGGAATTAAGTTTGCAGATGGGATTAAGACTGCTAATCAGATATCTTCAAGATAGGGAGATTGTCCTAGGTTATCCAGACAGGACCACTGTAATCACAAGGTCTGATAATCACTTATAAGTAAAAGAGGAAGCCAGAAGAGGAAGAACCAGAGATGGCAGATGAGAAGGACTTGACCTGTGGTTGCTGGCTTTGAAAATGGATGAAAATAGCCGCAAGTGAAGACATGAGGGCAGCCTCTAGAAGCTACAAAATGCAGGGAAGTCAATTCCCCGTAGATCCTCCAGAAGGAAAGCAGGCTTGCCAATGCCTTGACTTTAGACTAGTGAGAACCATTTCAGACCTTTGACCTCCAGAACTGTGAGATAATAAATTGGAGTTGTTTTCAGCCACTAAGTTTGTGGCAATTTGCTCCAATAGCAACAGGAAACTAACACAAGTAGGAGCACACTGGGTACATGCCTGGTCATGTCAACCAGGTCCTTCTTCCTAGAGTGTCATTTAAAGTGTCATTTTCATACTGAGAGTATGAGATAGGATGAAAATGTAGCATGAACTTTGAAGATGAAGCACAAGATTTCAAAATGTTATGCTTTGCCAGCTGCTTTGAGCCATAGGCTCCATTCCCCTCTCCTCTGCTGTCAGATGGAAGTGGTTAAGAGGCACCGCCTTTCTTGGAGCTATAGTCAGCGATTACTATACCACCCTGATTTTTATTACTAGTAGAATACTGCATCTAAGGGTTTTTTTAAATGAACATTTTAAAATCCATGTTCCCAGAGATGCAATCATTGGAATTTCATTCAAGGATTTAAAAATACTCTATATCAACTAATAATAATATCTAAACTTTTTTATAATTTTTCCACAAACATGTCTTTATTTGGTGCTTAAAACAGCTTTGTGAAGAAAGTGTGTTCTCACTAGTCAGAGGCGGAATGAAAGCACGGGTCAAAAGGTACTGAGCAATCAAACCCAGTTCTCTGCCTGCGTGTCTGGTGCTGTTTCCACGATGCCAGAGTAAGTGCCAGGCACATCCCTGGAGGTTTTCTCTGGAGTAGGTCACTTAGGAGCCAGCCCCGAATTCACCAAGCGTCTGCAGTGCTACCATAGTGCTTGCACCGCCCCTCAGCCTGCGGGACGGCTGTTCCGGATTTAGATGTCGCTGCTTTCATTCTGACTGTAAAGCTGTAACTGGCCCCTTCTCCTCTTATGACTGGATCTGTTCTCATGAAAGGATCGCATTGACAAAAGAGAGCACAGACAATGTGCAAGAGAGGGACTGGGGCTTCGAGTAAAGGCGAGAGCCATTTTTCATTGCGATCCCGATGATGCTGCAGACGCAAATGGGACGCAGAAAGGGGAGGGGGCCGGAGTCCCTCACTCCTCTCTGGGCTGAGCTCATAGACCCTCTTTTGGCTTTTCTCAACATGCCTTCTTTTCATTTTACAGAAGCACATTATCTGGGCCCAGTTATCAGAAGTCACAGTTGCTTTTGCAGCCAGACACTGTATATACTCAAGCACAGTAGAATGGTTTTGTTTTGGGTAGATCAATCATTAACAATTCTTTTAACTACAGAGAAAGCATTTTCTTTCCTCATTGTCTCTGTCTTACTCCACTTCAGAGTCTGTATTTTCTATACTGCTCATTTCAAGTCGTTTCAAAGAAGCCTTCCTTAACCACCCATGTAATGTATCACCCTATCTTAACCCCACTCTGTTCCTTTACCCTTCTCTATTCACTTGTTTCATAACATGTCTCACACCTAAATTATTTTTTTCTTTTTTTCCTGGCCCCCCTACCTGGAGCATGTGCTCTGTAAGAGCAGGTACTGTACCTCTTGTTTGCTGTTGTATTCCCAGTGCTTAGACAAGTGTCTGGCACAGAGCAAGGCTCAGTAAATATTTGTTGAATGAATTACTGAATTTGTTGCATCTCCTCCATGTCTAGTACATTCCTGGGACTGCCATATAAAAGACTCCAGTGAGATAAAAAGCAAGAAGCCATAGCAAGGGAGAAAAAACCTTCAACTTACTTTTTTTGTAGTCAAAGTTTCTAGTTTCTGATTGACTGATTAATTAGAGGAAGGACACAGGAGGGGAAAGTGTCAGAAGTGCTGAGTCAGAACTACTCAAAGTCCTCAGAATGAAATCCCCAAGCACCTAATGCCTGGCCCCCAGGGCTAAGCCCTGTTTCCACCTGGACCCCTTCCTCCAGATGGAAGTGAAGGTGATGACACGTGAGCACCAGCTCATCCAAGCTGTGTTCGTTAAGAAAAGCAAAGGCTTCCTCTGGTTTACTTCATTAATGAGGTGGTAGGAGAGAATGGGGAGAATGCTGTCAGACCACTTTTTTGAAATCCATTGATTTGTTACAAGTTTGTTCTGAAACTGGTAGATTCCTCCAGATGGAAGTGAAGGTGATGACACGTGAGCACCAGCTCATCCAAGCTGTGTTCGGTTAAGAAAAGCAAAGGCTTCCTCTGGTTTACTTCATTAATGAGGTGGTAGGAGAGAATGGGGAGAACGCTGTCAGACCACTTTTTTGAAATCCATTGATTTGTTACAAGTTTGTTCTGAAACTGGTAGAAAAAAGAGCAGTGGAATGGATCCTCCTATACCCTAGTGCATTCGTTTAGTTTTGTTTTCATGGCTCTTGTAAAGCCTACCTGGAAAACTTCCAGTTACTACTTACAGTCTAGGTCAAATGACACCTCCTCTATGAAAGCTTTCCTGAATCATTGCACAGAAAGGTTCTCCAGGGCCTCTCTGTGCTGTCCCCATGTTCTGTCCACATTGCTACTGTTGGTCTCTTCACTACGTCCACTTAAATGACTATATCCATTACTAATTCTGAGCACCAGGAAGTCAGAAATCATCTATATCATGCTTTACATCTCAGTGTCCAGCTTACCACATTGCTACTGTTGGTCTCTTCACTACGTCCACTTAAATGACTATATCCATACTAGTTCTGAGCACCAGGAAGTCAGAAATCATCTATATCATGCTTTACATCTCAGTGTCCAGCTTACGTGCCTGGCACATAGCTGGTACTTGACAAATGTTGAGAAAATGAGCAAGTGAATACATGGAAGAACAAGACACTTTACAGTCCAGCCACAGTTATCCAGTTAGCATTTGGACCATCCTTTGGGGGATACAATTTGATTTTGCATTTTCTTTATCTTCATTCAGGCACTCTGATTGTTCTGAAACATCCCTATCCAAGAACAGTGGAGGAACCTTCCATTTATGAGTCTGTCCGGGTTCACACAGCAATGCAGACAGGAAGAACAGAAAACGACCTCGTGCCCACTGCACCTTCTGTAAGTGACCATCAATTTGACCCCCGCTCTCTCACTGTCTAAAAGCAATCACGTGCAAGAAGAGTTAAAGTCCATTTGTTCACATAAAAGTTCTAGCTTGGGATATACGACTGGGAAAGGAATATAAGGTTTGAAGCCTATGACTCAATTCATCTGCTCCAGGGCAAATAGTAAAAAATACAATGCAATAGTGATAAGATTTTAAATACTTAGAAAATGGTACTGAAATCTCTGTGTTTAGTTAGCCAAGCAAGTTCATGGTAGAATGGGCGAGAAATGTTTGTGTTCACATCATTGACTAAACTGCTATTCGTTGATAAATTTCTTAAATTAAGAAAAAAATTTTCCTTTACATTTCAACTGTCTATAGAAAAAATATTCTCCACATTTACTATAAAAACTTAGGGTGTTATTTTTTTCCTAGCCTTTTTTTCCTTCGCTGACTGAAGTGAACAGACAGAAAACATTGGCACTTCTTTGCAACATGAGCCACTGTTCAGTTTCAGTGCGTCTGGAGCACTCATTGTTCCTCCGAGAGTCTATTTATATTTGTTCTGTGAACTATGACCCTGCAAAGATTCCTCTTCAGCACCCCCTTCCCTTTATCATTGTCAGGGCTCTTCCATTCATTGTCTCTTCCTTGTTTGCTGAAAACTTCTGGTCTAAGAAATCTGGATTTGCACAGTTGATAAAGAGGACAATACTGAAATGAAATATCAAGAGCTAATTCTTGGTATTTGGCAATTATTACCCTTGAAAAATAATAATAATTCTTGATACCTAGCAATCATTACCCTTGAAAAATAATCACTCGAAGATATTCAGCTACAAATTACATTGAAATATGTGTGGCCTTTCTGTCTCTGCCGTACTTTTTTCTACCCAGCCACCGGAGAGGTCTTTCTTTAAAAGCAGACTTAACACATGACCTCCCTGCTCAACAACCTTCAGTGGTGCCCACGGTCTCCACAGCCCACCTGGACCCTGCTGGCCACTCTGGCCTCCTCTCATGCTGCTGCCACATTCACACAGTGGGACCTGTCTCTCTCAATGTGCTCCTCCTCCCCTTCCTGTCTCTGAAATGCAGCCACCACCATTACTGTCCACCCATCTCTCAAGACTAGCATCAGGGATCAGTATCTTCCAGGAAGCCTTCCTTGATTCCACTAGCTTCTTTTTAAATGCCCCTTTCCTGTGTTCCAGAGCACCCTCTGTTTACCTTCATTCTAGAATTAGCATGCTGTAGGCTAACTACCTGCACATCTCTCTGCCTTCACCAACAGCCTGACACTTCTAAGGACAGGAATCATAGCTCGTGTTTGTAGCTTTATAGCCTAGCCCAGTTCATGGCACACCTTACATTTTTGTTACTATGCTACAGCTCTTCAAATCAAAAATCCTGGAAATTGGCAGAAAGAGGTATTTTGGCTTTGTTAGAGTTGGAGAACGAAGCATCAGACATCAGAACTAGAGAAATTTAGGAAAGCAAGATGATATATAGTCCAAAATCAGAAAAGACCAAAGAACAAATCAAGACATCCTCTCTAAACAACTCTTGTTCTCCTCTTGATCAGTCGCTTCATAATTTAATCTTTACCCATTTCTAACCCCGCACTAATCCCTTCAACATCACTCTTACTTGCACTCAGTTTAACTTCACATTCTCCTCTGTACACTTCCCCTAAAGATCTACACTCGATGTCAAGCAAACCATACCCTACCATGTGTGTCCTCTATCAGTAGTGAAATGCAGATAGTACCTGATTCATAGGGTTGGTATGAGCATGAGATATAGCCCACTTAGGTAGAAATAAGCCTCTTTAGACCAAATTCTGGAGGCCTTGTTCATTATCTTCTTTACTCACTCCAAGTATTGGGTGGATTCATTTGCCCAAGTATGTAAATATGACAATACATAGAAGCGTCTGTATACTGGACTTTTTAAAATAGGGGTGAGTGATTGGTTGAGAATGACTGGACTTACACTATATAGTAAGAAGCCCATGAAGTTTTAATTAATGCCCATTGTGCATCAATATGAATATGGACAAAAAATTATAAAGGCTTTCTAGAGCATTCTGAAATGTTTCTCACTACTCCTCACTGTGGAATCCTTGATGACGGGACTGGCATGCGTGGGGCAAGAGTTCTGGTCTGATCAGGATGCTCCTGTCCCTTAGTGAACACAGGGGTTCTCAGCCTTCACTGGTTACCCCACAGGGCCACATGACACTGCACCTCCATCTCCAACCTAAAGGCTCTGAGGGTTTTCACACTTCTGTTTTCTCTTTTTGGGATGCAGTTCTTGCATAAGCTCTGGCAGTGGAGAGAGGGAATTAAAAGAACTTCTTGCTCAAAGTGAAAATCAAAGATGCCCTATTGCCCAGAAATGTAGATGCTTGTGTAAAACTGTTTCACATCCTTTGGCAACTGCATTTGGAGAAATTACTGTTTCTGTGTTTTATAAACAATATAACATTGGGTTCCTGAGATAGGATTAAATTTAATTAATTAATTTATTAAATTAAGCTTTTTTTCAAGTGCCTACAGTACACTTAGCACTGTCGTAAGCACTGGGAGTTTTACACTAAATTAGGCAAAGACTAGCCTTTCATTAATCTCACATTCTATTAGGGTCACAGATAATAATTGATGTAGTAATATAATATCAGATAGTAATACATCACAAAAATTAGGATATGGAGAAAAGAGTGAAGCAGTGGGGGCCTGTGTGAGGAGGTGACATTTGAACAGAGACTTCACTGAAAGGAAGGCGTGACTCATGTCATCAGGTGGAAAAGGGTACTGCAGGCAGAGACAGCAGTATGAAAGCTCTAAGGTGGGAACTAAATTGAGCTGTTTCAAAAACCAGCAAGAAGGTCTGAATGATTGGAGGGAGTGAGCTAGAGGGAAAGTGGTGGAAGATGAGATCACTGAGGTAATGAGGGGCCAGAGTATGTTAGGCAATGGAGCTGTCAAAGAGCAGTACCTCCCGGCTGAGTGTTTGGAAATTTCTGAGAGTGTTTTAATTGTTGTAATGCTCTGGGACACTACTGGCATTAGTAGGTGTCAAGAGCTGTGAAGAGTCTGAGACTTTGCCCTACTTGCAAGCTAACAAGTTAGCCTGTCACAGTTTCATGGATGCTGATGGATGACACAAGTCTTCTGGGTCAGAGATGAAGGATAGTGTGTTACTCACCACAATAGCCAGAATATCAATATTTGTGCTGGTCCCCACAAGGCAACATGAAAAGGGCCAGGTAATACCTACATACACAGTGTGTTCTGTTACAGGAGAGGAACCCTGAGCTTAGGGAATGCAAATATTTTATAATGGGCAGTAAGCATGTCTGCCTTTTGCTCTGGAGGAAGGCATTATTTCTATCTTCTAAAGCTGTTTGCTACACAAACATGTTTTATAAGTTGGTCTGCAATGAAGGGCTGGTAGTGCCTTGCTCTAAGACATTCAGAAACTGAAGAGACCCATGGATAATTGTTTCCCAACCGTGGACAGGGTCATAGAAGCTAAAGAGATGTTGATGATTAAACCTGGGGAAGGGGATAAGCACTGGTAGTTAAATGCAGGGAAGGGATAAGAACTGGTCAATTTCAGGATGTGTTTTGAAGGTAGAAGAGACAAGATTTACTTGGCTTGAAAGTAATATGTGAAAAAAAAAGCAACAGAGTAAACAATCCTGCCATTTACTAAGATGGCTAAAACTGCAGGGGGAGTGGGTTTTGGGGATGGGAAACAGGAGTTCTGTTTTGGACATGTTAACTGTGAAATACCAATTAATTATACTGATAGAGATTAAGTGGGATAAGATATTTCAAGTTCCTGACACAGAATAGGTCCTATCTAAAACATTAGTTTCCTTAGATTCCCTTCTATGGTATTTTGACATTTTTAACAACTCCCTTTTTCTAACAATCCTGTTTCCTTTGCTTCTGCAACATCTCTCTCTTTTTATTCTGTAATCTCTGACACATTTTATGGTTCCTCTTCTTAGACCCCTCCCTCACATGTTGGCCTTTTCCAGTATTTTGGCCTTGAGGCTCTTCTCACATTTAACATTTTGATGTTTATCCTTCCAGTCTTTTTCTTGAATAGACATAGATATAGATATAGATATATAGATACACACACATATGTATAAACACTTGTACACCTATATAAAATAATGAGCTCTTCACCGTAGATAGAATATGCTTGTTTAATTAATCATATATTGTGAACATCTTCCATGTTGTTACATAGTTTTCTAAAACACCCTTAAACAAATTCTGTAATATTCCATTATTTGGATATATTGATTTATTTAGTTAATCCCTCTATTATGTTTTTACATACTATTTTTTATTTGACATAATTTCAAAGTTACAGAATAATTGTAAGAACAGTACAAAGAGCTTTGTTCTTCCTGAGCCATTTGAGAGTAAATTGCCTACATGATGCCCTATTGCCCTGATAGTGTGTATTTATTACAAACAAGTACATTTGCCTACATGACCTCACAGTCATTCAAATTAGGAAATTAATATTGATACTTATCTGCAGATCTCATTCTCGTTTCGCCAGTTTTCCCAGTAAGGTCCCGTAGAGTGAAGGGACCCAGTCCCCAATCACAAGTTGCACTTATGTGTCCCGTCTCTCGAGTGTTCTTCACTCTGAAACACTTCAGTTTTTCCTCGATTTTGTGACTTTGACACTTCTGAAAATTAAAGGCCAGTTATTTTGTGAACAGTTTCTCATCTTCGACTTGTCTGATGTTGAATCATGATTAGATTCGGGTTTTGCATTTTGGGTAGAAATACCACAGAAGCGATGCTTTGTGCTTCTCACTGCATCATCTTTGATGGAACACGAGTTCAGTTTACCCCATTACCATGTGTTTGACTACTTAAGTGGTGTCTGCCAAGTTTCTTCACTCTAAAATCACTTTATACCCTTTGTCATTAATAAATATTTGGAGGGAGGTTATTTGAGACCATGTAAATATCCTGTTCTTCATTAAACTTTTATCCACCAAATTTAGCATTCATTGATGCTTCTTGGCTGTCTTAATCATGACTGTGATTGTTGCCAAATGGTGACTCTTTGATTCTACTATTTATTTTACATTTATTGGTTGTCATTGTACTCTAAGGAAAAGCTCTTTATTCTCCACATTTATGAAACCATTTATTTTTATATCTATGAATTCTAGTCATGACTATCATTGTTTATTTTGATCCTTCAAATTTTCCCAGATTTGGCCAATAAGAGTCCTGTTAAGGTGGCTTCTGTATCTATATGCCTCATAATTTTTAAAGAACTTTCTTACTTTCTGATATAGCAAGATGTTCCAGGCTTATCTTGTACTTTCCTAGTACCCAGCTCTAAAATCAGTGATTTCTTCAAGAAACCCTGTTTTTTGTTTTTGTTTTTTTCTGCAGAGTGGTACTTTAGAAATTACCATCTGGGCACTACATGGTTATTATAATTGGGACATCACTGTCCCAGCCCACTCAGCAAACAGACCTGAAGAAAATATGTGTGTACAGTACATACATATGTATACATACATACTTTACGTTTGTGTTTATTTCTCTATCCATCCATCCATCCATTTATCAGTTCACACCAAGACCTCAATCCTAATCCAGTACCACAAAGCTCATTCTAGTCTTTATTCTTTTTCCTGTTTGTAACTCCCCTCTCCCACAGCAAGGAATGTAGACCTCATTATCTTCAGTACTCTTACTTATTTGAAGATCAGCGAAAGTAAGCAATCTCCAATTGCTGCTCCAACTACCTGCTCCCCTACCCTAGAAAGTCTGGTCACCTAACTGATGCCCCAGCACCCAGTTCCAGGCCACCGCTCACAACAGATGCCCACTGAGCCCAACTTGGCTCTGAAATTGTGCACTGGCCATCACCTGCATCCCTTGGAGTAGTTGCCCTCTTCCCCCTGCCAGCTTCAACACCTTACACCAAGATGTTGCCACCGCTATCGCCACCATTGCCACACAGATGCTCCCTGTACCCTGCTCGGTCTCCACCAGTCTGTACTAAGGCGCAGGAATGCCTTGCACACACTCACACCGATGCCTGCCTTGCTTTACCCACCTGATAGATTTGACTACATTTATGGCAGGCAGGCAGGATGGCAGGAAGGCTAATAATTCTTTATTTTTAAACATTTAGTTCATTTCCAATTTGGGGATCTTATAAACATCCTTCCTATGACAGATGATAGATGTCTTTAAAGATAAATCTGCTATATAATTATTTCATTTCTTACATCCTGAGACACTGAGTAAAATTAATGTCCTCAGCTTCCCTCTGCAGCCTTCCACCTACCTACAAAACTTTAGAAAAATTCTAGACTTATAGTATATTGTTTGGATGGAGGTGAGATGGAGTGAACAGCATTATTCCTCCGCTTGATTTCAACGAATAATGCTGTCAGGGTCTTTCATACAACAATTTGCCTTTAATTAACTTTGCCTCTACTTAACCTGCAACAACTCAAAATGTTAATTTTTTCCATTTCCATAACATACCTAAACTCAATTCAGTTGGTTCAATTTATTTAACATCAAAATAAACCAAACTGATTATATGATATCAAATTCACCAATACTGTTTAACATTATTTAAATGAACACCTGTGGAGTTTATTCTTACTTTATGCCATAAGAATTTTAAAAGAAGTGTTTGTATATTATTTCTTGCTTTAACTCTTTTCCTGTGGTGGTGGTTGTTCCTCTTTTTATTTGGTAGAGAGAATTCACCTCAGGAAAAAATACTCTGGGAATTCCCATAAAAAGAACCTTGACGTCAACCAAGTCATTTCCCAATTTTTATTCATTTTTTTCCTTACTAAAATAAGATATATTATGACATTATATTAGAACAAAATATCCTACCAGGAATTCAATTTCTTCAGACATTTATGCAGTTATAAATTTCTTGATCTTAGGGTACTTGTCTTATTCAAATGTCTATTCACATGGATAAATCAGGTGTAAATAAATCTGCACTCCTGAAGATCTGTTCCATGCAATATAGGTCTCAAGTCTGTCAAACCAAAAGATGGTGGGAGTGGAGAAGAGGATTATGTGATAAAATAAATGTTGGAAATGCTGTTTCTAAGTTTCCCTCTTTAAAAATCACAAAGCGTGTTAGCATAATACAGACTCCGGGAAGGCCGAAGTAAAGAAATCTTTTTACTTTTCTTGGTGACTTTTTTTTTGTGGCTGGCCAGTATGGGAATCGAACCCTGGACCTTGGTATTATCAGCACCATGCTCTCATCAACTGAGCTAACCAACCAGCCCTTTTTTTATTTTCTTAATCCAGTTTCCCAAATGTATTGACCATAGATGTATGTGTGTACCTGTTCATGTGCTAATACCCATGATCCAAGCAGCTGAGTTTCACATGACACATTTTGACAAACACTGACTTTTATAAGTGAAATGGTATGGTTTACTGTTTGGAAATTGCTAGAGAGCCTTTTAATTGTTGCCTGTTGCTGCAGAACTATACCGGATGATCCAGTCTGAAAACAGTCTCTCACAGCACATGGCAGATTTTCAAATGCCCAGGTGAAGAATGAAAGGTGATCATTAAAAGATCACAGGCAAACTTGTTCTTCATTTTAAAATAGGACAGAAATAGAAGGTCACATCATCATGTTGTGACAGTTCCGGGCTTCAGTAGATGCTCCTTTCTTTTTCAGCTGGGCACCAAAGAAGGCTACCTCACCAAACAGGGCGGCCTGGTCAAGGTAAGGAAGTGTTTTACTGCTCATGCCAACCACAAAAAAGGAGAACAAGGCATGTAGACTCAATGCTCATGTTGACAGCTTTTTTTAAAAGCATAGTTGCCTGCTCATTTTGACCCACTTACAGTATTTACCTTTCACCTTTCAACAGTTCATCTTCATGGCTTATTAGTCAAAAATCTGAAAAATGACTATTTTTTGGCAAAGTCCTGCATAAGAGTATCTTACAGTTAATGCTCAAGAAAACATACACTCCTTTTAATGGAATAACTGAGAATGAAGGTAGCGAGTAAACTCTAGAACATTTTTCTTTCCTTTTTTTTTTTTTTTTACAAAGAACAAAGAAACAAGTCAAAATTGTACAAAATGTTTACCTAGAGGTAGGCCAGAAATATCACTAGTACTAATGAAACTATGTTATAAAATCCAAATGAAAATACAATTGAGGACTTTACAAGTTCAGAGTTTCTAACTATCCCCCATTAATGTGATTGTACCTTTAAAGTTACTCTATTTCATTGTAATATGCCAGGAAGACCTTCATGGAGTAATGTCTGCTCCTTCCCATGTTAAGAGTCAGGGTATTTAACCTTTCTCACAGATACTGCCTTGCTTGAATTTAGCTATGGCCCTATTAGACTGACAGGAAGTATTTACATATAGCATATTAATTTTTAAATCCTCTGTTACTTCTTTTAACTGGGCATATTACCATCCAATACAGATTGGGGTTCTACTATTTTATAAGAAGGTGGCACTGGGTAACATTTTTTTTTGTCATTGATGCCACAGAATTCTGAGACAGGTTGAGAATATCATGTGGTTCAAGATTCCTAAACTTCAATTTACTTATTTGTAAGACAAGAACAATATTTGGCATTGTTATATGAGGACTGGCTATAATATACACAAACGCTCCAAGGATAGTACTGTAGCCCATAGTAGGTGCTCAAAAAATATCTATTTTCATTATAAAGTTAATGAGATGGAAATTTTAGTGGTTTGTTAAAAATCACCTTGGATATTTATGACAGGTTATTTCTCTTTTTTGATTTTTTTTGGGGGGGGATTTTTTTTTTTTTTTTTTTTGGGGGGGGGTTTTTTTTTTTTTGTTTTTTTTGGGGGGGGGTTTTTTTTTTTTTGTTTTTTTTGGGGGGGGGTTTTTTTTTTTTTGTTTTTTTTGGGGGGGGGTTTTTTTTTTTTTGTTTTTTTTTGGGGGGGGTTTTTTTTTTTTTTTTTTTTGGCAGCTGGCTAGTACGAGTATCCAAACCCGTGATCTTGGTGTTATCAACACTGTGCTCTAACCAAGCGGGCCAGCCCTTATTTGTTTAAAAATGCTAATAATATCTCTGCCTTCATTCTGAACTTAATGCATACAATCATTTTTGTTGATATTTTGAAACTTATTTCTCAGAAATGACAAACAACAACATTTTTTCAGGTTTATTGAATCTAATTTTTTAGATACTTTAAAAATGAAAGTAAATTATCTAGTTCAAATATTGCACTCCTGTATTCAAATATTGTGTGTGTGTGTGTGTTTCTCAGACCTGGAAAACAAGATGGTTTACTTTGCACAGGAATGAACTGAAATACTTCAAAGACCAGATGGTGAGAAACATGATAATACATTTTTCCCTTTCTCTCTAGATAAAAAGAACATCTGCCTTTAGAATTCCTGATATTCTTAAGTCTACCTGAAACATCCAATAAATGATTGGAGATGTGAGTTCTTAATTCCTGATATGAGCAGAGTTCTTTTGCAAAGTTGAGATGTATATCTCAGAAATTGCTCTCTTGAACTGGCTATGCTGTAGCTCCCCAAGGCACCTAATTCCCCCTGTTTAGAGCAATGAAATTGTTCTCTTACCACAATTTATAAACTGTCTCTCTGCAGCAATTTCACCCTTTATTAAAAATATGTCCATTTCCCATGGCCCTTTCATTAAGCAAGTTTAAAATTATTTCATTTCTTTTTGCTTTCTTATGTAAAATTTCTGAGAAAGTAGATTTAAAAAGATGAGAGAAAAATATGAGTCTCTTTCTTGTGTTAAAATCCATCTCCATCAAATGTAAATCATTAAAGGCAATCTCTTCTTAATGCCCAGTTTCATGAAAGACTAATTCCAAAACCAGGGGGTTGGTGACTTCACTTAGAAAGGCTTTCTTATGGGCCGGCCCGGTGGCGCACTGGATAAGTGCGCCGCTTGGGAAGCGCGGCGGCGCTCCCGCCCGAGGGTTCGGATCCAACATACAGACTGGTTCCCGCTCACTGGCCGAGCGAGGCGCGGGAGCAGCACCGAGGGTTGTGATCCCATTGCCGGTCCCCAGTCCGGTATGGGGGCAACACTGAGGGTTGCGATCCGTTGCCGGACACAGAAAAAGACAAAAAAAAAAAAAAAAAAAGAAAGGCTTTCTTATTATCAGTCTTCTCAATGAAAGGAAAGTCAACAGTTGCACAAAGTGGATGATTTATTAGGGAAATAAGTGATGGACAGTTTTGTGTATTTACATGGTTTATGATGACATAGGTTGCTCTTCTTTTTTTCAGGCACCAGAACCAATTCGGATCCTAGATTTAACAGAATGCTCAGCTGTACAATTTGATTATTCACAGGAAAGAGTAAACTGTTTTTGGTAAGTTGTTTTATAAAGGAAATATTTTTTAAAGTTTCCTTGCCAGATACTTATTTTAGCTAAGGAATAAAAAGCTGTATGTCTTTTTTTTTTAATTGAATCATAATTGATTATACATATTTTGGGGGTTCAATGTTGACATGTTGACGAAATCAATATTACTAGTATGTATATTGTTACAAATTGTACATATTCTTTATGGCTCTTGTCCAATCTCTTCCTATCCCCCTCTCCTTCCCCCCTCCCACTCTTGAGAATCCTAGATTTCTTCTCTCCCTCTGAAGGAGTAATGGTTATGCTGTTGATTTGTTGCCTAGATGATCTGTCCAATGCTGAGAAGTGTGTTCAGGTCCCCCAATATTATCATAGAACAGCTGCTTCTTCTGTCACTCTGGAATGGGCTTTGTGGAGAGAGACATCCTCTTCTTTTCTTTGGTCTCCACTGGTGACTCTTCTTGTGTCACTGCACTCCAGTGGCTGGTAGACCATCTGCATGGGGGTTGTGACATCTAGCCACTTTCACAGTAGCTGTGGTTATTGTGGTGGCTGTGGTGGGCCACCCACATGGAGGTGATGTTTTTGGTATGCTCCAAATGTGTGCCTGGTTGTGGAGGGGGTCAGGTCTCTGGCTCCATGCAGAGAGTCCCTGGGCGGGCCCCTAGGCAGGCCCTGAGGTTCTAGTGGTTGTGGGCAGGGATCTGGTCCCCGGATCCATGCCTCATGTCCCCTGGCAGGCCCCGAGGTGCTGGTGGTGTGACTGGGCTGGAACTAATTTTTTGTCCTTTGCTTACTTCTTTTTTTTTTTTTTTTCCTTTTTGTCTTTTTTCGTGACCGGCAACGGATCGCAACCCTCAGTGTCGCGCCCGTACCGGACCGGGACCGGCCACGGGATCGCAACCCTCGGTGTTGCCCCCGCCCCTTGCTCAGCCAGTGAGCGGCCGGTCTGTATGTGGGATCCGAACCCTCGGCGGGAGCGCCACCGCACTTCCCAAGCGGTGCACTGTAGCAGTGCGCCACCGGGCCGGCCCGTCCTTTGCTTACTTCTAAAATGGGGAAACTTCCTGTGGGAACCAGTACTTGAGTTGTGTGGCTAAGCTAAATTGCTGCTTTGCTGCTGTTTCCCTAGGGAAGGCTTTTTGTGCATCTCAGGGTTTAATGGTTGACCTTATAGGTATTTCCAGCTCTCCAGAGACCCAGTGCACCTGGGTTGTGTAGAAACTCTGATCTGGGCCTGAGTTTTTTCATCAAACTGCACCCTGTGCAGTTCTATAGTCCTGACCAGTCTCCTCTGAGTGGTCCTGCACTGTTTGGGGGGTGGGTCAGCTGTCCTTGCTGTGTCCCAGTGTTCTCCAGGTGGGCCTGTGTCCCGCACCACCTGTGCTCCAAACACTTCCCATGGGATGGGCCTTGGCCGGTCCCTTGAGATGACTCACCAGCCTCTGAATGGCTCCCCTTTTTCAGCTGTTCTGGCTCCTCTTTCCTATGTGGGTCCACAGGAACCCTATTAGTGGTCTTGCTGATCTGGGGGCTACCAAGGTCCTCTTCTCCCCTGCCACCTCCAAGTAACTCAATCTGAAGGACACAGCTGGGGCTTCTGCCGGCTCCTGCTTCATGCGCTCAGCAGCTCCAGCCTTAAAGCAGACACATCCCAAAACACTCAGGGCAGTTTTTTCTTTCTCTCCTCATGGTTTCTCCCACCTTCATGAACTCTGTACGTCTCTCCTCCTCTTCCCCTGAGCTCCAGCAGCCCCAGCTTGGCTGATGTTACATTTTTATAGTTGTAAATTGATTGGGAGAGAGTGACGCTGAGGGCCATCTATTCTGCCGTCTTGACCGGAATTCCAAAAAGCTGCATGTCTTAATGTCTACAGATGTTCAGGTCTGAAGGGCATGATTTAACCCTGGCAGAGAGCTTACATGTTAGGAGTGGTTTTAGCTGAGAGTGACATAAAACCTCATTTAAAGTGGCTTGAACAAACAGGCAGTTTGGCTGGGTTTAGGCTGTATATGGCACAAGTGTGATGCACGTATGATGATGCTGTTTGCATCTTAGTTTTATTTCTTTGAGGTTTTTTCCCTCAATTTTAATTATAACTTTGTTGACTACAATGATGGGTCATTTGTATTCTTAAGACAATTCCTGGCAGATGGCACAAATGTGTTTGGTTCTAACATAATCAGTATATTATGAAAATTTTCTAACTGGGAGAGGAGTCGTGAGAAAAGGGTGTCTTATTTCCCACCAACTTTTAAAGTTTTTTAAGCATACACAAGTTGAAAGACATATATCCATATACACTCCACCTAGACGCATGAATTATTAGAATTTTTCCATATTTGTTTTATCTCTATTTACCTCTTTTTTCCCCAACCAGTTGAAAGTAAGTTGCAGACATCATGGCACTTTTCTCCTAAAGACTCAAGTATGTATCTCCTAAGAATAAAAATGTCACCTATAGAACTACAATATCATTATTACACCTGAGAAAATTAACATTAATTCTATAATATCAACCAACAATGAATATCTTTTTAAAATTCACATAAAGATGCCATGTAAGCTAACAGAGGTTTATTTTTCTCATACAACAAAAAATTCGGAAGGCAGGCAGTTAGCATGACAAGGTCAGGTCCAATGTCTCTGCAGTTCCGGCTGGCTGCACCACAGGCTACTCTGGCTGGCTATTTCAGGATCCAAGTGGCTACTCCGATATTAGGCCTCCTGTTTTCACATAAGCAGGAAGAAATGTGTAGGGATGGTATCAGCATGTCCATCCCTTTTTATCGGGAAAGCTAACATTTTCCTAGAAACACCCCGTCACGTTTTCCTTTGTGTCTTGTTGGCCATGACTGGGTGCTGTCGCCATCCCTAGCAGCAGGGGAGGTCAGGAAAAAGTGGTAGCATGATCATAATTGCTTTAAACTAGTTAGGATTTACTGCCTGGGGTTCTGTTAGCAAGGAGAAAGAGAAAAGTGTCTGTGTTAATAGGCAATTAATAATGTCTCCCACAGGGACTACTAAAAGATGACAATTCCAGAAACCAGCTTTATACAGTGTATGCACAATATCAATATCACTCCCTCCCCACCACTGTCCACTCACCACTCAACTGGACCTCACATCAAAGTTTTAGCTGCCACACACAGGGACACACCTCTTATCTATTCAACATTAATTACAGGTATTAATAAAATACGCTACTTAGGCCTTAGGCTATAAAAACCTTTCTGAATTTTGGTTCAAGGTTTTTTTTTTTTCACAAAATGAAAAAATATTTTTAGTACTTTGCATCTCAACTGTAAGTACAGGAAAAATAGGCAAGATATAACTTAGGTCTGACCTTGTCATTCAGATGATTTTGACTATATAGTCAAAGGCAGTCAAATGAAGAATTACCATTCACCCTGGAAAAGTCTCTCGTGCCAATAGGAAAGGTCATCTTCCTTCCAGCAGAGACTGACTCATGGCCAGAGATGAGCAAAAAGAACTAGCCAAGGAATTTTATTGTCTCTTTTTCCTGTCCTAAATAGTTAAAACTGCCTACATCCACAGAAGGCAGAGTTATCTTCATCAAAGCAAGCTAACACAAATGTTTTTTCAGCAAACTCTCCCTTATCTGTCTTGCTTATTCTTTGAATCACAGCACAGCTTCTGAATTATTTAAGAGATCAGCCAAATAAACACATAACTATTGTACTCAAACTGTGACTAGAGCAACGAAAGGATCTAGGGTTGTTCTGAACATGCTTTTTTCTTCTTTGAAGTCTCATTAGAGAAGATAAATCTGGCCTGTAATAATAATATGAATCTACGACTTCCTCGACATTTCTGCAGTTTGCTGGCAGGAATAGCTCCGTGTATACCAGCTCTTCAAGTTACTAACCCAGGCCCTTTATCAATTCTTTTTTGCCTTGGAATACTGTAATTAGCATTCAACTGATATATATGCAACTAACCATCTGGAGTGTCTTATGTTCTTTCTTTTGCCTTATCAGCTTAGTATTTCCATTCAGGACATTTTACCTCTGTGCAAAGACAGGAGTAGAAGCTGATGAGTGGATCAAGATATTACGCTGGAAATTGGTGAGTTGTAAAAGTCCTGGAATGCCTAGTTCTGAGAAATAGCAAGTTGATGATTTCATATATATTTCTGTTGAAAGAGTCAGATTATATCCAAGAATCAAAGGGATGACTACTTGCAGGCTGGTGGAACAATTTGTTCATTCTTGTTGGGACATGAGAAGAAATGGAGACGGGGTGGTAAAAAAGAAAGGATGGAGCTGTATTCAGATCTCAGCCTAGAGCCTTAGTTAGTGCCCCAGCATTGATTGGTCTTCCTTTAAGGTGTGCAGGTTAGTCTAGTTTTGTCTGGAGGAGGACACTTGGGAGCTGGTCTCACAGAAGAAAGTTGATATATTTCTCTGGCTGAAAAACCTTTTAAATTGTCAAAGAAGGAAGCTTGCCGGAAATACTTAGCTTAGTTTTCAGTTTAAGTGTCACTTTGTGCAGGTCAAGGACAAAAGCTGGTTTATTTTATCCACTTTCTATATACCTCCTGGGGGAAGATGGAATGCTTATAGACATTTACCAGTTTCATACATTTTTTGCATATATTTGCAAATTCTGAGTTGTTAGCCACAAGCTTGTCCTTAAAGCTTAAAATTTCTGGGCCGGCCCGGTGGCGCACTGCTACAGTGCGCCGCTTGGGGGCGCGGCGGCGCTCCCGCCGAGGGTTCGGATCCCCCATACAGACCGGCCGCTCACTGGCTGAGCGAGGTGCGGGAGCAACACCGAGGGTTGCGATCCCGTTGCCGGTCCTGGTACGGTGCGGGCGCGACACTGAGGGTTGCGATCCGTTGCCGGTCACGAAAAAAGACAAAAAGGAAAAAAAAAAAGAAAAAAGCTTAAAATTTCTTATAAATACCATCTTGAAACCCTTGATGTTTTCAAAAGTAAAACATTTTTTTCCTAATTATTTTTTGTGAAATTATCTGATATATATTTGTTCTCTCAAAACTGAGAATCTTGAATATTCCTTTCTAGCTACTGGAACTTTTGCTTTCAGTTATCTTTTTGGTTTAAAATCCAAATAAATATGCCACTAATTTTGAGATTGTTCCAATGAATTTTATATTCAGTGAAGAAATACTTCACTATAAGAAACCTTTGCTCAGATATGTTTTAATTTCTTATTCTATTTTTGTAATTATCCAGTGACACATGCTCATTATAGAAAAATTAAGGCAAAAATATATCAAATGTACACACTTTAAGACTTCTTCCTGTGTAAATAAATATTTAAAAACAAAATTTAATCATTCTCTAGTGTTCTTTACCTACTAATTCCACTTAATGTATTATGACCATCTTTCCTTATCAATAATTTTATATCTATATCTTTCTTGTGGTTCATTGAATAGTATTGCACTTTATGGATTCCTATAAGTATTAGACCAATTCCTAATTTGTACATGTTTTAGCAACTACTTTACAATATGTCTCCTGAGAAAAATACAGAAAACCAAGTTAAAATTTGGGGGGGAGGGGGCATGATAACTAATTTATAGTTGCATGGCTTCTATACTAATCAGCATGTCTTATTTAGTATTTGTTATGGGATGGCCAGTTAGCTCACTTGCTTCAGAGCATGGTGCTTGGGCCGGCCCGGTGGCGCACTGCTATAGTGCGCCGCTTGGGAGTGCGGCGGCGCTCCCGCCGAGGGTTCGGATCCCACATACAGACCGGTTCCCGCTCACTGGCTGAGCCGAGGTGCGGGCGCAACACCAAGGGTTGCGATCCCGTTGCCGGTCCCGGTCCGGTACGGGCGCAACACTGAGGGTTGTGATCCGTTGCCGGACACGAAAAAAGGAAAAAAAAAAAAAAAAAGAGCATGGTGCTGATAAGTTCATGGGTTCGGATCCCGTACTAGCCAGCTGCCAAAAACAAACAATAATACTATTTGTTAAAAGCCAGGGCTGGCCCGTGGCTCACTCGGGAGAGTGCGGTGCTGATAACACCAAGGCCCTGGGTTCGGATCATATAGGGATGGCCGGTTCGCTCACTGGCTGAGCATGGTGCTGACAACACCAAGTCAAGGGTTAAGATCCCCTTACCGGTCATCTTTAAAAAAAAAAAAAAAAAAAAAGCCAGAGTTTATCTTAAAATCACTCAATAACAGATACACATGTGTGTGTGTTTTCTTACAGTCACAAATAAGAAAACAGCTCGACCAAAGGGAAGGCACAATCCGATCTCGGTCGTTCATCTTTAAATAGATCTTTTCTTGCCAGGAATGCCCTGGCTCAGGAGCAAGGTGGAATGCTCCCTGATGCTGGCATCCATAGCTGACTTCAGACAAAAGCTAAAGGTTTTTCTTTAAAAACAAATCTAAAGCAGATGCCTATACCACGTGGGACCCATATACTACATTTGCTGATTCACGGAAAACTGCTGCCATTCCAAGATATTACCATCTTCCTGAGAATACCGAAGCAATTATTATTCTGATAGAAACAGATTATACTACTCCTCCCAGGCCTGCTCTCTCTTAGAAGACACAATGTAGTAAGATAGAAGGTTCTCATTTTTCACTTTTTGTGGTCCCCAAGTTTGTTGACGTTAGTTGCCTGGAGTCCCACTCTGAGTCATGGTCAGCTCACCTGACACCCAGGTTGTGCTACTAACCAGCAAGGAGAAGTCATCTTCTGTACTTGGAGGCCAAGACTGCTTCTTCACCAAGTCCACTGAGATAACAAACATCAAAGATTTTGGGGGGATGGGTTGTTTTGTTTTTTTTCCCCTTTATACAAAAAACTAAAAGTTTCCAAAACTAAAATGGAAAATGATTATAGTATTTAGTTTTTCTTAGAAGGCTTGGAAATCTAGTGGGTTCTTCACTTCCAATGATAAAACTGTGAGAACTAAATGTCCTATGGGAGATTAGGTAGGACAATAAAAATAAATAAAGGTATAGTTTTAAAATCATCTCTTTTAACCATTTTTGGGGAAATGTTTTAAAGAGTGAGAAAACATAAATAGAGGCAGGGTAATAAAGTAGTAGATAACTTGTAGTTTAATAATTATTATTATTGTAGTAATAATAATAGAGCACGTGTAAGCACTAAGTTATCTTTACCTGACAGTTCTCCGAACAGACTGAAAGAGGCTTCTTAGGGCGAGTGTGTTATAATATTCCCTTCCCTGGAATTAGCTGTGTAGGCTAATTCCAAAGAATGGCCCAAAGAATGTGAGAATCACCTTGCACTGCCATCTCTAAGCACCCTGTGCCTTATTAAAGAGCAACTTTTGTTGCCAGTTGAGGAAGTAACACTAAATCTTCATGAATTAAATAATAATGTGTTACACAGCCATTTCAAACTAGAATAAGGGGAGTGAAATAGGGGAATGGGATACTAGTGTCCAGAGCTCATAAATAGATTCTAACTCCTGCCATTATTTTTATTAATACTGCTTTCTTAGGTAGAACTTTGAAAGAAGACAAAAATAAGTGAAGAGCCTAAAAATAAAAACATTATGGTGCAAAGCTATGATATAACACTGCTCATGCCATCCATAGGGATACTCTGTTATTGTTACTTAAACATCCGAGACTCAAAAATTACGGTAAACTTTTGTATATTTCAACAAGATTTTTAAACATATTTTGTTATTTTGTTATGTTTTTATTATATGGAATAAAGCATATGTCAAGTTAAAATGTATTGTGCCAAGTTTGCAAAGTAAGAAGTTATAAATGAATCCTCCCTGAGATGTATGGTTTTATGTTTTGCTTTCTTAGAAACAAAGTGTTTCTTTGTGTAGGTAATATTGTTTTTACCTTTGTAGAACATGTTTATTTATATTTTCAGTTTTGTTTATTAAAAATAGCATGATTTTGCTGTGCGTGTACTATTTTGCTATCAGAAATATTTTTAATATTTGTAATTTAAAAGCAATACAACTAATTAATATCATAAATAGTGATGAAGAATCCACTTTATTTAAATTATGAACCACAAAGGATTGGAAGCTGAAATATTCCCAATCCTCAAGTTCTTCGTTGAATACGGAAATGAGGATAAAACCCTGTGTGACAAGATAGAGAAGTAAATAAGATAAATACTGTGAGAGGTACACAAAGCTATATGATGGAGAGTGTGCGTCAGCAGGGAATAAAACCATTTGTTGGAAGCTTTTGAAGCAAGGGAGAGCTAACAGATACCCAGTATGTAATTAGCATTAGGCTAGATGCTTCACCTACTCTCGGCAGTCCTGCAATGAGGTTGATTCCATCTCCTGAGAAGAGCCTGGTGAGGGGCGCTCAGCTATTTCTCCACATCCAAAGCAAGGGAGAGTGTTTTGTGCCAATGGGAGATTGGAGTGGGAGAATATGGCAGAACAGCCAGTGGGATGTTTGTGTTCCTGTCTGCCAAGGTATGTGCTTATTATAAAGGAAGTACAATAGGCCCTCTGTATCCGATGGTTCCCCATCTGTGTATTCAACCAATCTCAGATCAAAAATATTTTTTAAATTGCATTTGTACTCATCACGTACAGATTTTATTTTCTTGTCCATTATTCCCTAAACAATACAGTATAACAGCTACTTACATAGCATTTACATTTATTAGGTTTGTAAGTAATCTAGAAATGATTTAAAGCATATGGGAGGATGTGCATGGTTTAAATTCAAATACTCATTCTATGCCATTTTATGTCAGCAACTTGTGCATCCTCAGACTTTAGTATCCACAGAGGTCCTGGAACCTATCCTTTATGGATATCAAGGGATGACTGTACCTCAGTAGTCTCTGGGAAAATCTTGGCCCACAGTAGCACTGTTCTCTCTGGATCAGCAGAATTACTTCCTGGAGGGGAAGACTAATACCATCTTGGGGGAAATCTGTCTTTCCCCCCCCCCCCCCCCCCCCCGGAGCCACTAGACATCCAAATAGAGAGGCAAGTCCCTTCTCTTCCTACCCATGTGGCATGCAGTGGGTTCCCCTCTCCTTACCTCTCACACACACTGGGCGTGCAGGTCAGGGAGTTACTCAGTGTCCCTGTTTCAGGCATAGAGCCAGAGAATTACTACAGGGTGAACATCAGTCCTACTTCCTTCCCCCTCCACTACTTCAGATTGGCTGCAGCAAACCCATGTGTCTCTTAGATTCTTCCTAGCAAAGTACAATATAGAGCAAAGTGCCAGGGTTGAGCCTACACTCTGCTCACTATGGATTCAGACTGTCAGGCCATGATGTCAAGCCGAATTTCTTAAACCATCTGCAGTGAAGGACCAATTTCTGTACTTGTCTTGCTAACAGTGTGCTGAATAACCTAGTTTGTGGACCACATTTTGAGTAGCACAGTTCTGACTGGCAGATAAGAGGAAACAAGAGCCTTGTTTTTTTTAAAATTTTATTTTTAATGGATGCATAATAATTGTACATATTTATGGAGTACAGTGTAATGTTTTGATTCATGTATACATTGTATAATGATCAAATCAGGATATAAATGAAATAGGCCAGGCACAGAAGGACAAATACTGCATGATCTCACTTATATAGGGAATCTAAAAAGGTTGATCTCATAGAAGTAGAAAGTAAAACAGTGGTTATCAGAGACTGGGGAAGGTAGGGAAGAGGGGCAGATGGGAGAGGTAGGTCAATGGGTACTGTGTTACAGTTAGATAGGAGGAATATGTTCCAGTGTTCTACTGCACAGTAGGATGAACATAGTTAACAATCATGTATATTTCAAAATAGCTAGAGGACAGGATTTTGAATGTTCTCACCACAAAGAAATGATAAATGTTTGAGATGATGAATGTGCTAATTACAAGAGCCTTCTTGAGAAAGAATTCACCTGAAGATAGAAAAGGCTGAGATGCAAAAGTTTTGTTGATGTAATATGGATATCAATGTAAAGAAAGGGTGATTATGAGCACATTCTTGTCTTACTCAGCCCAGCCTCGACAAAACCTTAAGGAGCTGTTTTACTGGTGCCCAGGGGACAAATGCTGAGGTTGCAAGTTGTGCCATATCTATAGCTGTGAGCACAGATGGCATCCTTGGTTTTCAGTATAGACACCTTCTAGGTACCCACAACCTCAGTCAGTCAGCAGCAGCATGGCCAGGCTTGAGGGGCATAGCTCATCCTAGAGAGCAGAAACAAAGCCAAGGAAATTGGCATATGCCATGTGGTTTCAGGAGTACGGTGAAGCACTCTACAGGAACTCCCAGAAATATCTGGAAGGCATTTGAGAGGAATTGCATTTTCCACAAAAAAAAGCAAAGATGGAACCAAAGAAGTAGGCCCAGTGGGTCCCTGAATCCATGCTGTGTTTATTTTCCTAGTTTCAGATTCATAGTTAGAATAGACATACTCAGCAACTGGAAGAATCTGTGGAGTGAGGGCTATTACAGTAGGAAAAGCAAAGTGAAAGCCAATAGAACTGCCTCTACCTGGGGAGATAGTAAAAGAAAACAATATCACATTCCTGGAGTGATTGCAGAGATTAGTGCTACTATCAAAGACTTGATAAATGCAGGGGTGGTGATTCCCACCACATCCCCTTCAACCAACCTATTTGATCTGTGCAGAAAACAGATGGATTTTGGAGAATGACAGTAGATTATTACAAATTTACGCTGGTGGTGACTCCAATTACAGCTGCGGTACCAGATGTGATTTCATTACTTGAGTAACTTAACCACATCCTCTGGTACCCAGTATGCAGCTGTTGATCTGGCAACTTTTTTTTCCATACCTGTTAGTAAAGACCACCAGAAGCATTTTGCTTTCAGCAGCAACACACCTCACTGTCCTACCTCAAGGGTATATCAACTCTCCAGCTGTATATCATAATTTAGTCCACAGGAACCTTGATCATATTTCCCTTCCACAAGACAACACACTAGTCCATTACATGATGACATTATTATGCCGATTGAACCTAGTGAAGAAGTAACAACTACCCATAATCCTGTGACAGCTGGCTTCATAGAATGGTAAAACGGCCTTTTGAAACCTTACAGAACTGGCTAGTTGGTAATACCTTGCAGAGCTGCAGCAATGTTCTCCAGGGGGCTATATAAGCTCTAAATCAGCATCTGATATATAGTGCTGTTTCTTCCATAGTCAGGATTCAGAGGTCCAGGAATCGAGGGGTAGAAATGTGAATGTGTGCCACTCATTATTATCCCTAGTGATCCAAAACAAAATTTTTGCTTCCTGTCCCCGTGTCCTTACGCTCTGCAGGTCTAAAAGTCTTTGTTGCAAAGAAAAGAATGCCTCCACCAGGAGACACAACAATAATTCTATTAAACTGGACATTAAGACTGCCATCCTGCCACTTTGGGCCCCTCATGCTTCTAAATCAATAGATAAAGAAGGGAATTACTATACTGGCTGTGGTGATTGGTCCTGATTACCAGGGAAATTGTGCTACAATACAAGTAAGGACAAATATGTCTGGAATACAGGACATCCTCTAGGGGATATTAGTATCACCAAGCCCTTGATTAAAGTCAATGGAAAACTACAAAACCCAATTCAGGCAGGACAACGAACAGCTCAGATTCTTCAGAAATGAATGGTTGTATTAACTCACCAGGCAGAGCCACAAACAGACAAGGTGCTAGCTGAGAGCAAAGAGAATATGGAATAGGTAAAGCAAGGTAGTTACAAATACCAGTTATAACCACATGTTCAGTTGGCAAAACAAGAACTGAGATTATTATAATTCTTACTTGTTTTGTTATGAATGTTTGTATATATACACATACAAATATATACATACATTATACATATACACACACATATTGAACAAATATCTTTTTTCTTCCCCTCCTTATCCTATTATCTAATGTAAGATGTATTAATAATAATTAACTTTACATTACAGTATTTAAGTTATAGGATAGCAAGGAGAAAAGTAAACATCACCCATGGACTAGGACTTTGCATACTCTTCCAGGGAATACTCTTCTGGGGAGTATTCTTGGTTGTACACAAGATAGTTGTATCATGTTAAAAGTACGACTTAGTTATTGTCTTTACTTGGAGATTAAAAAATGGTTTAAGGAGATGCATACAGGTGCCAAGCTGACTAGGGGTGAATTATGAAGTTTTATGTGTCAACTGTGCTAGGATACAGTAGCCAATTATTTGATTGAACATAAACCCAAGTGTCACTACATAGATATTTTGTAGATGTGCTTAATATCTACAATCCCCTGAATCTAAAAGAGATTACCCTCCATAATGTGGGTGGGTTGCACCCATTCAGTCAAAAGGCCTTTGAACAAAACTGAGATTTCCAATAATGAAATTCTGCCTCAAGACTGCAGCATCATATGCCTGTTTTGAAATATCACATTGTATCCCACAAATATGTAAAATTGTTATATGTCAATCATAAAATTTTTTTTTCTTTAGCCACTGGCCAGTACAGGGATCCAAACCCCTGACCTTATAAAAAATGTTTTTAAAAACTGCAGCCTCAGCTGCTGAGGTTTTTCCAGTCTTCTGGCCTGCCCCACAGATTTTGGAATTGCCAGTCCCCACAATCGCATAAACCAATTCCTTGAAATATATCTAATACATCTATATCCTAATGGTTCTGCTTCTTTGGAGAACCCTGACTGATATAACCTTCTTCCCCAAACATCCCATTTTATTTAAAATTTTGTTCTTTGCTAAAATATTTAATTATTATTTTTAAATAGTTAAGAATTCAAAAAGTACAATGAAACTTACAGTGCATCGGCTCACTCTTGGGGTCTGTATTCCCCAGATACCTAGCTCTACTCTTTGGAGGCCACCAATGCCATCAGGCTCTTCCATGTATCTCTGCAGAGTCTATCATACAGAAACCAATAGGAATATTCACATCTAGTTTTTCTTCTTATACATAAATTGTAGCATGCCACAGTTTCCCACCATGCTTTTTTCAATGAACATTATGCTTTGGAGATAATTTCATCTCAGTACCTAAAGCACATCTTTGCTCCTTTTTCCATGGGGCAAATGCAATAATTTTTCACCAATACTCTAAGATGAAGGTGACCATATAATCTCCTATCTAAAGTGACACACTTGAGAGTGAAAGGAGCATTATTAATAATTTATACTAGAAACAGCACATATAAACTGTTACTGTTCGAAAAACCAGGATGCACGGTCATCTTACCTATGGTGGATATTTAGGTTGCTTCCAATCCTCTATTTCCAAGTTGCAAAGAATATGCTCGTAAATGTATAATTTTTAATGTCTATCCACATTGGTAGGATAAATTTCTAGAAATGAAATTGCTGGCCCAAAGGTTAAGTGTATTGAAAGTTTGAGAAAGATTGCCAAATTGCTGTACATAGAGGGTATATAACAATTTATAATTCCACTAGCAGGGCATTAAAAATGCCCACCCTACTTACTAGATAATCTGGTCCCCATTGACTTATGATGCCATTTTATAATGTTTTAAGTCCTCATATGTATGTACTAAAGTCTGTTTCTGAGTTAATTCATTCCATTGATCTGTCTAGTGGTGCACCTAGTTTTTATATACCACCTTTTAAAAAGTTAATCTAGTTTTATATTCTTTATATTCTTGGCAGTATTCTTGCTTATTTTTCCAGATGTACTATAGAACGATTTACCTATTAAAACCCTCGGATAAAAATTTTAATAGTAGCAGTATTTACCATGCAAAAATTAAGTAGCTCTATTTATTAAGCAGCTCCATTTATTATAGTTTCTTTTCTTGAAGTTTGTAGATATATAATTATTATTACCTGCAAATAAAAATTCAGCTATCTCATTTTAAAAAACCTTTGTTTCATGCACCATTATACTGGCAAAAATTTCTTGGACACTTTTAAATAGTAATCCAAATAACAGGAATTGTAGATTTTAACAGGTGTGTCTAATGTTTCATTCGGTTGTTAATAATTAACTATTTATAGCTCCCTATAGGTAAATTGTTATCTCTTGCCTCAATTTTTTGGTAAAGGCTATTGTTCTTGCCCATTTTAGATGTCCCTATTCTGTGATTCTACAGCACCCTGTGTATAGCTTTATCACAGCACTTTCTATACCAGCTTCCTTTACTGAATTGTAAGTTCCTTAAAGAAAGGTACCACAACTTAATCTCATTATTTGTATTGGAAGGAGGGAGAGAGGAAGGAAAAGCAGCACAATGCCTGGCCAACTGCCTCACTGCACAACTCTAGGGATAGCATTCACACATATTGCACATGAAAGGTAGGCACAGAAACATGAAATAAATGGTGCTTCTTAGAATTGTGCAATTTGGGAGAGTTGGTGACTGGCAACAGCAGGTGTTCGATGCATATGTATCAAACTGTACCAGTGACAAACTATCAAAAAACACAGGAAGAAATTAACAAACTTGAATGATGGACTGAACTCTTGAACATACAAGGCATATTCTAGAACTGTAATAGCTCTTTTGTGGAGGTTAAATTAGTCTCATGGTTGAGGTTTCTTTTCTAACTGACAGTTTAGCTAAAACGATCCTCAAACCAATACCTACAAAAAATACTCATACTTATTCATGTTGTTGAACCAGTGAATTAATGAGATGGTTGGTGAATTAATGAGAGTGAATTAAGTTTACTATGTTCTTTAAACTTTTGGAAGAAGTCTAAAAAAAAAAAGACCTATATAGTGCTCAAGCTATATTTTTAAAAATATTATTTTATTTATACCCATGTATGAAAAAAATGGCTATACTATCATGTTTACATATATACTGATATTCGAAACAGAATTCAATAATCAATCATATTTAAATTTTATAAAGAACACATAAACATTAAAAAAAACATTGATTGGTTATAGAAAGCAAAGTGGCAGAAAAAAACATTAGCTATAATTTTCATTTTCACTAAAGACCAGCACCCTCTGAGAAGAATCAAATCAATTAGTAACATTCATCTATACTGCAAAATAATATATACAAAGGAAAGTTATTGATTGTACTGATTTTATTACTTTTGCTAAGCCATTTTATCTTTCTCTTACTCAATGCAAAGAAATAAAACATAACCTGAAGAAAAACATATCCTTACTATTCACAATAAAAAGGGTCTCCATCAGCAGGCCTGGACATATTGTACAGTAGGGGGCACTTCATGGCTCAAGTGGATGGTGATACCATTTTGATTCTAATCTGCTGAATAGAATCTCATCCATATTTGGTGACTGGACTAACTCCATGGGAGCTATGATAGACTGAACCATTTTTGTGGTATCCCCAGATCTCACTAAATAAGAAAAGACCCTACACAAGGAATTAAAACAATCAACCTGTTTATAAATTATGTCTATAGGCCCTTTCTTTAGTATAAAGTAGAAAGGGGCCCTTTCTTGAGTACATGGATACAAGTATTATTGTAGTCTGAAGATTGCTGAATTGATATTGTGGTGTTATAATAAAGATAAGGAACGCATCAGAACTACTGTCAATTTAAGAAACTTCCACTACTTGTCTCAATTCTTCAAATAATGGAGCAAGTTCCTTTTCTAGGCTGACAATTAGTCCTAAAACAAAGAGATTAAGAAAATTAGATTGTTAAAAAATGTTCCTGAAAGTCTCTGACTTAAGTCCCCTCTTGTCCCAAACTTATAGTTACTAAAAAGTAAACAAGACATCGTTTATTTCCCATAACTAAAATAAAATATGGTAATCCTGAATAAAGTAACTCAAAATTCCACATCCATTATGAAGTTTATTTTCATCATCTATTATTAAAGTAGATAAAAAAATGTATGTGTATTAGTAGATATAGAATAAATAATATGCACTATAATTTGTTGAGTTCTGAATGAAAATCTTAATTCATACCTTACTATTTCAAAATTTACATCAATTCAGAAATAATACATATGATTTTTACTAAATAAGGTATACTTTTTCCTTTTTACCAGCAAATTTTAACAGATTATATATATCAGAAGATAGGTAAATAGGGAGCTTCAATTTAAGCAAAAAAAAAAAAAAAAAAAATCAAATTTATTTTATAAATTCAATAAAGCTAAGACATAAATGAGTATTTCAAGGGAAAAAACATTTAAAAAATGAAGTAGAGTATAAAAAACATTCACACGTTTAAAAAGAAGCTCAATGGTAAATCTGGGAGACAAACTCATCTAGAAATTAACATATCTAGCTTCTCCCTAGTTTATCAGAGTGAAAGGCTATATACCTTAGACAATGCCTACTTTATGTTCAAAGATCTTCTTCTGTCCTACAGAATATTAAAAGCATCTGAACTCCCAAGAAAACGATCTAAAATATAATCCTGTACATTACCACAATATATAACAACTGATGATTTAGTATGTGATGATTGATGATTTATCAAAATTGAGGTTTAGTGTATTTAAAATATTGACACCACTACCACCCTATATAATTTACAGTGTTTTTACACATAGTATTTTACAGCTTTGAAATGTTTAGAAATGGAAGAGACCTAACAGATCATCAAATCTAAATCCTTCATTCTAAAGATGAGGTATCTAAGGACAGGCTTCAGTGATGTAGCTAGAATAATATATTCAGCTTGGGAAAAAAAAAAATAAAGAAATGTATAACCGTTCTCAACAGTAATCAAATCTGAAGGAGACAAACTTTAAAAAAAATCATCCTACTTTATCCAAAAGAGAGTAAAAAAGTTACAATCCAACTGAATACTGTGATTTTACACATAAATATCCAGTAAAAGGTACTGAATATAATGGGATTTTACTACTCTCTATAGAAAGTACAGATTCCTAGCATTTGTTCTAAAATTCTCCAGACCTCAAGAATGTGAACATGTTCATCATACTCATGCTCTTTAAATTCTCAATCACATTCATCTTGCCTGCTATCATTCAAAATTAAAAGAATTTTCTAATTTAATAAATCAGTCTATATGGAATTAAACTCATCCTTGATTATTTTATGTGTTTTGTTTGGTTATATTTTTCACCCTCTTATTGTTTTCTTAAACTGTTTTAATGTGAGCAAGATGTAGTACTCAAGATAACATTTAATTTTCCTTCCTCTCTCAAAAAAAATCACCCATATGCTGTCTCATTTGAACTGGAAAATAACCTTGTAAGATGAAGAAAGCAGATATTAGCTCTACTATACAGATACAAAATTAGGATTCAGACACATCACTTTTCCCAAGATCAAGGAAAAAAGATGGTAGAACTGGGCCACAAATTCAAGTTCGCTCTAAATCTTCTATTCCTATTTTATTAGACTGCACAGATACAGTAATATAAGGAATTAAAAGCCATATTTAAGGTAATTAAAACACACCTGTATTGGCATTGCTGCTTGCTATGAAACTCACCACCAAAGGCAATCGATTAAATTGAACCACCTAAAAAGAAAATAAGATCTAAACAATATGTTGCATTGTAAAAAAGTAGTATAACTCAACTGAAATGTCTTAATCTTTAAAAAATGTTCAAATGCACATGGTTACTAGCCCAACATCATGGTATTACATCACAAAAGATAAAGGAGCTGAAAGTAAATATTTCCATAAAACAGAGTTACTGATTATCTCTTAAAGACACTGATAACACTTAGCCTAGAAAGTTTTTAAGATGGAACCATGTCTTCTTCATCTTTTTATCTTTAAAGCACAGCAGAGTGTCAATTACATATTAGGGGCTCAATAAACAGTTGATAAAAGTATTTTTTAGTCATTCAAGTAGTTTTATTGTTATGATTTTTCTGCCTCCAGTGTAGCATTGTAATTTAAATTAACTTTAACCCAATTACCTTTAAAAAAAGCCTCAGCTTCATCCTAATCTTTATTGGTGAAATTAAAGGTTAGATAGGTTTGTTATCTTTTACCTAATATGCACTAAAATATATAACTTTTAAAATAAAAAATGTCACTAGTGTATCATGTACATGAATCATACTCTAGGAAACATTGCTCTATAGCAGAAGAGATTAATTTATTCTTAAGAAAATGCAGCTGGATATCAAGAGATATTTAACAACTAATTTCTTCTCCACAAATAATAACCTCACTTATACATACATTTCAAACCAAATGAAGAAATTAACAGTAATAACAAATTTAAATAACATTTGACTTTCAAGGAAATTTTTTTTGTCACAACAAAAAAAGTATCATTTGAGAAATGACAGTTGTTTAGCTAAGGGCACCATCTACTGGAGGTAATAGTGACCTGACTTACCCTTTTTAATATAACATGTACTTTATTATTAAATCTTTTAACTACTTTTCCATAGTAATTATTTCTTAGTGTAAAATGTGAAGAAAATCACTACAGCTTAACATAACCTACTTGAAAGGCTAAAATTGTTAAATTTCATCCCCTTCACAACGGAAATTCAGAATTATAAACCAAGCTATTTTATATAAATGACAGAAGAATGATAGTTGAAATCAGCAAGCCATGTGATACTTATGAACTTACCTGGTAGGTGTTATAGTAACAGATGATACTTTTATTTTTTGAAAGTCCAAGTTTGCTCCCTTGATCTGTTGCAAGTGCAAAAGTAGACAAGAAACCAGGTCTCAAAGCATGCTCTGGAGCATTGTCATTGGCCACTGGAAAAAAAAAAAGGGATTTAAATAAAATTATGCAGAAGATACATTAGGGACAAGATTTACAGCACCTTCATTTATTTTTTTTACATAAATCCATAAAAAAAATTGAGCACAAAGATTATGTTTCACAATACTGAAAATCATATTACTAACTGGGTCTCATTAATTTAGGTGGGAAAACTTGCTCAGTCAGAAGTTTAGTGATTAAATGTGATTACTAAACTAAAAGTTTATCACTCAATTGAGCGATAAACTAAAAATTGCTCAATCAGAAGTTTAGGGATAACTAAGGGAAGAAATGCAGAGTCACAATTTTTTTAATTTTTAAAAGGATACTAAAATTTTATATTTCATATTTTCTTGTTATCTACCTTAAACACAGATTAAGCAGTACATTTAATAAACTGAATATTCTGGTTATCTGAGAGCCAGGCTAGAATAAAATGAATGAAAAAAGGTACAAAAAGTTTTGCTTTCATAAACCCCACAGTGGCAGTATCTCTCATAGATATTAATAATCCTGCAGGTGGCTACCTGTTTCATGTTTTTCTCACTCATTAAAAGGCCTGAATGAAGTTATCTGTATCAATAAGTGTAGAGCTCAAGGCTTTATCAGAAATGTTCAGAAGGAATATTAGAGCTGAAAAACCTGAGATTATTTTGTTCAAAGCCTTCAACACATTCGAGAAAAGGCAAGTGACTTTGTCCATGACCACCTATGTTTTATGGTGGGTTAGAAAGTACACTGGACCATGCATATGGAGATGATGAGTGCTACTACTGTCTTATCACTGACTTACATGCAACTTTGAACTGGCAATGTACTCTTTGCACTTGACCACCTTCATTTTTATAAAATCACATTACCTCTAAACTTCCTTTCAATTCCAAAGTCTAAAATTATTTTACATATACGATAATACCAGATGGAAAACAAATTGTAAACAAGACATACAAAACATTATTTAATATTTAATCTTTGGTAAAGCTATTACAGTGTTCCTGTATGACTAGGAACATCCAATCTGATTATACCATAAGGTAGAAAATAGTAAAAATGGTCTGAATCCATACTGACTCTATGACATCATATACATTTTTTAAAAAAGTTAGAGTGCTGTGTTATAACACCAACCCAGCAGCCAAAAACAAAACAAAACAAAACAAAACAAAAAAAGCTAAAAATCAGGTAAAAATTCTTATTAGATGCCGATTAACTAAAGTAATTGTGAAGTTAAAAGTTTTAATCTTATTTCCAGTAAGACAGCAGGAAATCAGGCAAGATTAAACAAAACAATCAATATATGATGATCCAAATATATGGGTGTTATCCTAAAACTACTGGCAATATTGATTAAAAATGTATCTATGTAGGGGTGTCTGTCTGTGTGCATAATATATCTAGCAGCATACATGCTCACTCTCATCACTTAGATTTACTAATGGTCCGCATTATACCATTAATGTCTTTAATGGGTAAATAGGCTTGTGATGACATATTTGCATAATACATTACAGGTTCCAACTCAGCCTTTAACGTACAAAAGCAAACATTTCTCCCTAAACTAAGACTATCTCCTGAATTTACTGAAATGAGTTTTATATGTTTGCCTTCTGTACTACTCAGATGTAAATACACACATTTTTAGTCAAGAGGAAACACAACATTGCATTTAAGTGTTCAGTTTTACCTTTAATAACAGGTACTCCATCTCTATCTGACACAACAATAGCATGGAGCCCTTCAACACTAGAAAGAGAAAAAAATTAAAATATTATAAAACATTTCATTTTCTCAAAATATGCACTTCAAAGATGTAATGGTAATCTCATGCATATTTCTGAAAACCATGGGAACTCAATTATTGATAGTCTATGCTTCCACAATGTGTTTGGCAAAACTCTCCCAGAAATTGAATGAATATTTATGACTGGCATGTTCACAATATTTACAAATTTATGCAGTTTATTGATGAAGATATAAAACAGATGATTCTCCATTAAAACTGTACGAGGGTATATTGAAAAGTTTGTGAACAGAATTAAAAGATGATATCTTTCCATGAACGTTTTGAAGTATTCCTGTTTTCATTCCATGGTTTACAAAAGTATAAAAGGTTATAGTGCCAAAAAAAGAGAGCCTTTTTCCTTTCTCTCATTCACTCCAATATCAAGTGCCCAGTACTTGTGGCACTTAATATTTTATGACACTATGACAAGCAAAAACAGACAGAGCCACTACCTTCCCAAAGCTTACAATCTAAAAAGTGAGTGGCTACCAATCAAATAATCTCACTAAAAAGTAAAACTACAACCGCAACAAGTGCCATTAAGAAGTCTGTGGGGATAGAAGAGACTATAAAAGAGGGGGTTGATTCAGACAGGTGGGTCAGGGAAGGCTTCCCTGGGGAAGTGATAGCTTAGCTGAGATGTTAAATTGTTGTAAGCAAAGAGGAGCAGAATGACCATTTTAGGCTCAAAGACAGGGAAGAAAGAATGAAGGCATGCAGCAATCCTTTCAGCTACACGTACATAAGCAGTAAGCAGAATAGTCAAGGTTATAACTCTGAAGTTAGAAAGACCTGGATTCCAGTCCAGACTCTGCTGCTTACTATTTATGCTACTTTGGATCAGTTAACGAAATCTCTCTAGGCCTCAGTTTAATAATCAGAAAATGAGAATAACTGCACCCTATTTCCTTCCCCCTCCCCCCCAGCTGCCCCACAACATCTTAGAATGTAAAAAAATAATATTAATAAACTTTTTTAAAAGGAATAATTGAATAATTACTTATTTAGCTATTGTAAAATTTAATAAAATAAAGCATGTATAAAGCATAGGCTGGTACATAGTTAACATTCAAAAATATTAACACCAGTGGTATCAATTGTGCAAAATTACTGACAAAATTTATCACTCCAGTTTAAGTAGTAAATTATCAGTGAGAATCCCTAGGAAATTAGCAGTTAGGAAATATATAGTCTAAAGCACAAAAGCGAAGTGTTAAAAATTATAATGGTGAAACATACCCAAATTTTGACATTTGTGCAAAACCCTTTAACTATTAACACAAAACCTATAGCCCTATAAGTATCTTACAATATCCGTAAACTGTAACTCAGAGATATATTCAATGTTCCTTCTATAACCCAGATTTATCCATTCCTTATATTGTGTTAACCTCAACGTTTTAATTTTGGAATAAGGAATATCTATATTAACCTAATGTTAAGGCACCAAAATTAAAATTTTTTAAAAATCTCATTGTCAAACTTTTAATTCTGAGAAGTATTATCAAAATTTGAGTGGAAATGTTACAACAAATTCATTTGTCTTCCTCACACTAAAAGTAATGAAATGACTATGTATAAATGATTTTTATACTATTATTGGTATTATCTCCTGTTATTCAATCCTGACATGGTCTATAGATTAAAATATATTCTATAAGATTAATACATAAAACAATATATTCTTCTAAATTAAAAACTAGGTTAATAAGAATAAGAACATATCCTACTGATACTTGCACACATGCAAATCACTTTGTGCAGTTATCAATAATAATGGCCAACTGCCAAAAAATAAACAAACTGCTAAGACTTTGTAGTAGTCCGTTTTGTGTTGCTATAACAAAATACCTGAAAGGAAAAATGACATTTATTGCTTACAGTTTCTGAGGCTGGGAAGTCCAAAGTCCATCTGCTGGTGGCAACAGTGAACCAGGGGTCTCACATTGCAAGATGGTGGAAGCAGAGAGAGCAGAGAGAGAGACAGACAGACTCTCCTCTTCTTTTAAAGCCCTCAGAACCATGCCCTTGACCACCATTTTTAATTCATTCACCACTGCATGTTCCTACAATCCAATCACCTCTTCAAGGTTCCATCTTTCAATTACCATAATAGGATTTCCCACCCTCTTTACAGTCACAGTGGAGGCTAAGTTTCTAATACATAAAACTTAGGGGACACAATTGAAGCTTCAAGGGAGTTTTGAGGGGACATAATTCAATCCACTACAGACTTGTAAGTGGATCAACTATACTTCTGTTCCTAAGTCTACCACCAATGTGGTGGGATGTCCCTTCCCCCGCATTTTAGTACTCTTTCAATAAGCTTCCAACAAGGTAACTACAGATAAATATAGAAAGCCTTCACTTTGCACAAGTCCAATATGCACATTTTAGACACCACAGTTTAGTTAAATAACACCACTCCCTCCAATAGCACAAGTCAAATTTGAGCTAGCATGGCATATTAACTGAATAATTACATAAAGTATAAACTCTGCTAACTCTTCAGTCCACAAAACACTATGAAAATAACTTTGTTATTAAGAGGTGCACACTGTGATCAGTAACCAGCCATGTCACTTCTTCCAAAGTGAGTTGGTGGCTGATCACTAAGCATCTGTTATTCAGTTCCTGCAGATAGAGCAAATGATGTAGTTTAGTATTTCCTTGTCTCTCAGTGATAAACCATGTGGCATTAAAAAAAAATAGATAATGGAAAGAGGGAAGTGGCCAACAAAGATGAAATACAGCAAAGAAATAAAAAATGATAATGATGGAAGTGAAATTTGAACAGAAAATAAACAGTTATAGAAAAAATAGCTAACCAAGGGAATGTTGGCACTATTTCTGTTATAGAGACTCTAGATACACAGCCAGAGAAACCCAGTAAAAGCAAACTTATTGACATAAATGAGGAAAGTGGTTGTGATGAAAATGTCCCAGAGGAAGTGATGCTGGCAAAAAAATTCACATTAAAGGAAATTTCAGAGATATTTCACAACGTCGAAAATACAAAGGATAAAACGTGGAAAGCTGATGCAAACTTGGAATGGAGTATGACAATTTGCCAAAGCATAGAAAAGATACCTGCTCCTTATCTTAAAGTATATGAAAAACAGGTAAACACTGTTCAAACTACTCATTTTTTATTACAAAGAAATAAAACACTTTATTTCTCAATGTTTCTAATATTTTAAATTAGTGTACTAAACAAATATTAGTTTTAGTATTTGTTTTCATTCCCCTAAATATTTATAAACAACAATAAAAAGGTTTTAATGTTTTGAAAAAATTTTTAAAGGTCACAATAGTTATTTTTCCCATTTATTACTAAAATTCCTTTGCAGTTTCAGCTTCTTTGAACATTTTCAGAGCTCTGCATTACCATGCAAAGCTAGGACTGCCTAATTTATAAAATGGTACATCAAATGGACTGTGTGCAGGCAAAAGAAAGCCTTGTGATTTTTCAAGGATGAACTACTGTTTAAGTCTAGCATTTTCGGGTTAGACTTAGCAATTAGGTCTTAATAGCAATATCAAAAGTAAAGGCAAGTTCTTAATTTTGTTCCCTTAAAATTAGTATAACAACTTTGAAATATAATCCAGTAAACTGCTATGATAGAATGAATATTTGAAAGAATTCAAAGGGGTAAGAAATCTGAGTCCTAACCCTCTGCCATCCGTTAGCTGTTTATCATTAGACAAGTAACATAACTTCTGTAGACCTCATGTTATTTATCTGCAAACTCGAGGACATCACTTGTGCTACCTAGGGTTATGTTAAGTATTTGAAAGTGCTAAATAGCAGCATAATATACACATATTAATCTAAAAAACAATAATATGTAATGCAAAATTTATCTAATAACAAATTAAGATTTCTTACCTTGGTAACTTTTTATACAGGAATCGCTTTAGGTCCTGAAACAGAATATTAAAAAATTGTATTATAATAATATGGCTTTCATTGGTTTTCTAGGTCCTGTCGTACCCACATTTCAGGGACCTTAAGTCATCACTCATAACTTTTCTTATGTTTTACCCTTCTTTCTGATTTTGATATTTACTATTTGTACAACTTGGAACAAGTTAAGTAACCTTTTTCTCTAAGCCTCAGTTTCATTATTTGTTGAACAGGGATAAAAACAGAACCTACATCATGAGATTGTTAAAATTTATTGAGAAGACGTGTATATTAGCATACTTAGATACAGGAAAAAAATACATATTAGCTATATATCTAAATCACACTTTTCATACTATTTTACATCCTGTTGCTATTGTGTTCACTTGGGAATATATTATGAACATCTTTCCATGTCCATAGATAGACTTTCTACCAACATTTTAATGATCCTGGGTAAGTTAATTACCTTCTCCAAGACTCAGTTTCCTCACATGACTGAAAATAAATGACAACATATGTCAAGTGTTTAGTATGGAACACAGTTGGACTTATGAAATAGAAGACTAATTTTGTCTCATCATACTCTCATATGGGAAACACCATTGACAATTTAGGCATCAATTAAGACCTCTACATGGATGATTCAGGTATCTGTTGTTTTGAACCTCTAACCCTTACTATTCTTCAAATCTACATGATCATTTTATCTCATGTTATCACCACCAGCTTACTTTTGCTGTCATCTTAAACCCACACACAAAACTGAACTTATCATGTCGCTAAAGAGGTATCGGTTAGAAATCATCTCAAATTACTGCAATGAACCTAATGAGACAGCACCACCACTTACTGGAAAAGGATTCTGAGCACATGCCCTACTGATCCCAGACTGACGGGAAAGATAGCTAACCATCATTTAGAATTTCATACGGTAAAAATACAGAGCCTCTCTCATGCCCCGGTAGGATGAGGGAGTGTGCAGAACACAATTTTCTCAACCTCAGGCACCTTACTATCCTCCACCCCCATTCCAGGCAGAAACTCAGGACCGTGCAAATGCATTCATATTAGTCTCCCACTCCAAATCCCAGAGAAGATAATGGGCGGGGGGGGGGGGGGGGGGGGGGGGGGGGGGGGGGGGGGGGGGGGGGGGGGGGGGGGGGGG